TTGGTCCAGAGCAGAATCAAAAGCAAATGCTGTTTATTCACACCTGCCCCCAAAATGTAGCGTGTGAGCTGCTGACTTCTCCAGAACTCTTCAGGAGGCTGAATGTGAAAGTATGAGGGAGGGAGGCATTTCAGGCCATGATGTTAGATCGTCGCTAACAAAGACCCAGAGAGCAATTTCAACCAAAGTGATCAGCTTTATTGAAGATACGAACAAGCGCTTGAATTCTGTCATAACCAGAACAGATTAACATTGGGAACTTGGCTCCTTTTAAACGTTCCGGGGCTAATGTAGCCACGCCTATTTACGATTAACAACCAATGAGGTTGTGTAGATAACAACCAATGAGAGTCTTTCCCTCTCAGGAACTGGTTCCCTTGCTCGAAAGCCAGTCGAGTCCGACTCTAGGGTTGCGGTGCTCATCTCCGTTTTCAAGCCGGAGAGCCAGCGCTGTCCGAAGACGTTTCCGTGGTCACGTAGCCGGCATGACTAAACACCAAGGCGCACGGAACGCTGTGACCTTCCCACCAAAGCGGTCCCTATTTATCTACTTGCAATTTCTCACTTTCAAACTGCTAGGTTGGCAGGAGCTGGAACTAGAGACGGGAGCTCACTCCGCCATGCGGCACCCCTGGGTCTCGAACTGCTGAACGACCGACCTTCCACAGCCTGCAGTTCAGCGTCTTAACCCCTTGAGCCACTGCAGCTCCACTTAACTATTAGACACACTAAAATAAATCCAAGTGGGTAGCTGTGTTGGTCCGAAGCGGCAGAACGACGTTTGAGTCCAGTCCGGCACCTCTAAGGCCAACAAAGCTCATACCTCGAATAAAACTTTGTTGGTCTTAAAGGCGCCACTGGAATCAAACTGGGTTACACTGAAGTGAAACAAAATACGACTGGCGGTTAATTGGCCTGCACCTGCCCCGTTTGCTTCATCAGGACTTGTGGGGGGCTCCTCCCCGTGGATGGGGCCAGAAATATCAGGGGCTGCAAAAAGGGCCCAAGGGAGCCTGGTTGGCGTCTGCTCTTCAGTCATCTGACTTACTGGAGGCCCCCCCACACACACACACACCGTGGCCCATGGGAGCAGGTTTCTGCTTCGGACAGGCGGCATAGAGGAAGCGGCTCACAGCGGCTGTGGGGGGTCAGAGAGCGGCTGATTTTGGACCTTTCTGGATTCCGGCTCCACGTCCGCAATATCCTGTCCTCCGGGGACATGGCCACTGCCTACGCAGACTGCCGCGGGTCAAGGACCCCCCGGCTTGGACTTTCGTTGCTGAGCAGAGATAAGCGGGGCATTTTCACTGGCCGGCCACAAATCATTAACCCCGCTCACTCCAGTCGCACCGCGTGTGGACAACACCATGTTTTGGAGGAGGCGGTCAGCTGGGATGCCAAAGCCCGCAGTGTGATCAGGGCTTCTAGGAACATAAGAAGAACAAACAGCGCCTGTGATAAACAGGGGGAAGCCAGCCCTCTCCTTCGGGAAGGGGAACCTGGATTCGGAGGGCGGAGGGCTTGGCTAAGAGGCGCTTCCCTCGCCTTGCCCACGGCTTGGCTCCAGGCCTACGGCACACACATCACGTGCCCCCCACCCACCCAGTCCTGGCCTTGTCCCAGTTTTCCCCTGAGAGTTTCCAGGCGATTGTCCTTCACACATCCCGTTGCCAACTCTGGGTTGGGGAATTCCTCTAGATTTGGGGGTGGGGCTTCGGAAGGGCGGAGTCTGAGGAGGGGAGGCTTCTCGGTGAGGTATAAGGCCTCTTTCCGAAGCTGCCATTTCCCCTCTGTGGAGATCAGTTGCAATTCTGGGAGGTCTCCAAGCCCCACCTGGATGTTGGCAACCCTTCCTGCACCCTTTCAAATCCCTACACAGTCTGAGGAAACGATCTCTCCCCCCAACCGGGGACTTGAATTGGGGGTTTCCTAACTATCGGGTGCTGCCTGTCTTAGCAAAACCTGCTAGCTGTTTTGACAAAATAAGAGAAACATCCCATTAGACCGGTGGAATGCTCTCTGTTCTTGTCTCTGTGACATTTCACCCACCACTTCCTGCATGTCACAGGCCTCATCCTAGTGAGAACCAGTGTTCCCTCTAAACTGAGTTAGTGTGAGCCAGCTCACAGTTTCTTAGCCTCCGGCTCACACATTTTTGTCTTAGCTCAGGAAGGAGGGCTCCAAAGGAAACTAATTGATGCAGCAGCCAAACCGCTCGCTCACAACTTTAATGCCAGTAGCTCACAAAGTAGAATTTTTGCTCATAAGACTCCACTGCCTAGAGGGAACATTGGTGAGAACCCACGGCCAGTGTCTGGGCCACAACAGTTTATGCCAGAATAAAATGGGCGTAGTCTTTGAGGTGCCACAAGTCTCCTGTTTAGTTTTGCCACGACAGATAAATGCAGCTGCCCACCCTGGGGGCCGGATGTCTCTCTTCTTCCCAAGGCCCGGTCTTTGAATGTGCTCTTTCATTCCAAGGGGGTACAGAGCCGTGATGGCTCTGTAGTTTCCCAACAATTTTAATCTGGCCAATGTACCCCAAGACCCCCTACTTGTCCTGGTATCCATCCCACTTCCACCTCCAGTCATATGGGGGGAGGCAAGGAGGGAGTCTTGAGAGACTCTTGCAGACTATGTTCATCACCTCCCGACATTTTCACTAAATGAATAGCAATTATTTCCTTTATTTTCAGGATTAACCTTTTTTTCCTAGGTAAAGGTAAAGGTTCCCTTGCTCGAAAGCCAGTCGAATCCGACTCTAGGGTTGCGGTGCTCATCTCCGTTTCCAAGCCGAAGAGCTAGCGCTGTCCGAAGACGTTTCCGTGGTCATGTGGCCGGCATGACTAAACACCAAGGAGCACGGAACGCTGTTACCTTCCCACCGAAGTGGTCCCTATTTATCTACTTGCAATTTCTTGCTTTCAAACAGCTAGGTTGGCAGGAGCTGGAAGTAGAGACGGGAGCTCCCTCCGTCATGCGGCGCACTCGGATCTCGAACTGCTGAACTACTGACCTTCCACAGCCTGCAGTTCAGCGTCTTAACCACTTGAGCCACCGCAGCAAAATAAAAAAAAGTCATAATTCTTCAAAATACAGTCAAACCTGCTTTGCAAAAGGCATTCGCATGTTTGTGGCATGAAGAGTCTGCCGATGACCACGCCTTAAGCAGCCCTGTAGACTGCCACTTCTGATGTCCTGGGCTGCTGTTGATAATTCTTGCTGAGGAGATGCAGGGCACGATCGATGAAGTTTCACCAGACGGACTCCAGTCAGTTGAGTCAGCACTGACTCTCTGAAACCACTTGCAGGAGGCACGACGGAAACGAACGTAAGCTGAATGGGAGCCAAGAAAGGCAAAGCCCATCTGGAAACACAGGAGCTCAAAGAGACAAAGGAGCTCATCCTCTTCCACTGTTTAGGGATCCATTTCTTCCCAGAGAGATGTAGCCAGGAGGTAAACTGGAAGCCGTGCCAAGGGACGGAAGTTTCCCAAGGCCAGCTGCACCAGGAAGGCGAGCTGTGCTATCTGTCCTTAAGAAGAGATGCTCAAGAGGGATGACCCGATTCAGGAAGGCGCCAAGCCAAGCAGCCTGCAAAGCTCTCTCAGCTCGGTGAACAGGCAGCAGACTGCCCAGGGAGCTCCAGCGTAAGGGTCAAGTGATGCACATTGGGACAGAAAGCCCTAAACACTAACAATGGACCCTGACAAGCATTTCTGAGAGGGAGAGGTAAAAAAGGCCACCCCAGAGCCCGCCCCCCCGAAGCATCCCTTTTCTCCCAGGGAACAGGTCTCTGTAGTCTGAAAATGAGCCACAATTCCAGGGGGTCCCCGGGTCCCTCCTGGAGGCTGGCAGCCATATTCTGGACCCTCAGACCTGAGAGATGTAGAGCGATCCTGCTATAAAGAGGAGGGAAACCCACCCCCATCTCCCACCTCACTCCCCATATCTTTGCAGGCCCCGCTGTCGACAATCTATTTTAAATATCCATTAATTTTAAGTAAAGGTAAAGATTCCCTTGCGCGAAAGCCAGTCGTGTCCGACTCTAGGGTTGCGGTGCTCATCTCCGTTTCAAAGCTGAAGAGCCAGGGCTGTCCGAAGACGTTTCCGTGGTCATGTGGCTGGCATGACTAAACACCAAGGCGCACGGAACGCTGTTCCCTTCCCACCGGAGTGGTACCTATTTATCTACCTGCAACCTCTTGATTTCGAACTGCTAGGTTGGCAGGAGCTGAAACTAGAGACGGGAGCTCACTCCGTCATGCGGCACACTCGGGTCTCAAACTTTTTAATTTTAATGAAGTTTAAATAGAATTGCTGCAGCTGGACTTTGACAGGGGGGGGAGGGAGGAAGGGTAACTGGGTTACTTCTCCGTGCCATTTTAAAACCTGGAAAGTTTGCATCGTATAGCATGTTGCACATCACTCCAAATGGGGGACGGCGCACAGAAGGAAAACGAATGGTGCTTGTTTTTGACTTATTTTAAATGGGGTGGGGGAACAGATATGTCATGTTTGCCTGACTGTGTCACTGCAAAGAGATGGCATCGGGCTGTTTTTGATGGTTTATTTGTCCCCTTACATAAATGGCTCTAAACTTGTTTGTCCCAAGCTGGTTGGGGGAAGCACCTTTGAACAGGAGGGTGTTTTGTGACCAAAGTGATTTTGGGTCCAAAGCTCAACTCGCTGCACACAAGAGGGGATAAAAGGCTGTGTGAGGGAGAGTTGAGCTTGGGGAGGTGTCGTGCGGCACAGTTTCAGCGCAGACGAAAACAGTCACCGGCAATGTTCCCTCTAAGCTGTGGAGTCTTGTGAGCAAAAATTCTACTTTGTGAGCTACCGGCATTAAAGTTCTGAGCGAGCAGTTTGGCTACTGCAGAAATCAGTTTCTTCTGGAGCCATCCTTCCTGAGCTAAGACAAAAGTCTGTGAGCCGGAGGCTAAAAAACTGCGAGCTATCTCACACTAACTCAGCTTAGAGGGAACACTCACCGGCCAAATGGAAGCCGGCATGGACCTCCTCCACCACTCGGGCATCCAAGCCACACACTACCTCCAGGCAAGCTACCCGGGGTCCCAGGACTGGTTCCTCTTTGTCTCCTTTGCTGCCGACCTCCGAAACACCTTCTTCATCCTCTTCCCCATCTGGTTCCACCTCTGCGAAGCCGTGGGCGTCAAGCTCATCTGGGTGGCTGTGATTGGCGACTGGCTGAATCTTGTCTTCAAGTGGTGAGTGGTTTGCCCACTCAGCCGGGCTCTTGTCTTTGCAGCCCCAGAATTTGCTTGAATGCGCTGGGCGGTTTGCCAGAGAGAGTGCCCCTGGCAGAGGAAGGGTTCTCCTGGCCTTCTCCACTGCGTCGCCAGCTGGCTCCTGCCTGTTTGGGACCAGGACGAAGGTCTTTCAACTTGCTCTCCGCCATCTCTTTCCATTTTTACAAATGAAGCATTGTAAGAACGGCAAATTCCAGCTGCTTCTTGGAATATCTAGTTCAGCCGCTAGGATGGCCGGGATGAAACCAGATCTCCTAGCGCGCGCCCCCCCCTTATCTCCCAAGGCCTCCCCCTCCCTCTTCCCTTCATCCACCCTGGAAGTTCAACCCCAGGCTGGGGGTCTGTTTTCCCGGGAGGGTCCTCTGCTGTCCCTGACTGAAACAAAAACATATTTCTCAGCAGTCTCCACGGAAAGGGATGGATTCTCTCTTTGCCGCCCCCCCCCTTCCAGGGAGGGCACAGCAAGGGGGTACAGGGGAACGGCTGCCCTGTGGCCACGTGGCTTCCCTCGGCTTTTGGCTGTGGCCACCTCTGCTCCTTGGGGAAGCCCCTAAATGTCCTTCTTCCTGCAGGATCTTATTTGGACAGAGGCCCTACTGGTGGGTGCACGAGACCGGCTTCTACCACAACACCTCAGCCCCTTCGATCCAGCAGTTCCCTGTGACCTGTGAGACCGGCCCAGGTGAGACGCCAAGCAGATGAGGCAGAGCTGGGCCCAGAGGAAGAGGCCCCACTCGGGTGGGCTGGAGGACTGGCTCGCAGGGTGCCCACGGCTAAGGGAGGGAAGCTGTACGTTATCCTGGCTGCCCTGGGCATAGCTGTCGGTGGCACACAAATCCGAGGGAGATGGAATCGGGGGGGGGGGACCCTATTCCCGAAACTCCCTTCTATGGAGTCAGATTTGGGATCCATCTAGCCAGCTTGGTGTCGTGGTTAAGTGCGCGGACTCTAATCTGGGAGAACCGGGTTTGAGTCCCCACTCCTCCACTTGCACCTGGCTGGATGGCCTTGGGCAAGCCGTAGTTCTGATAAGAGCTGTCCTTGAAAAAGAGCAGTTTCTGTCAAGAGTTCTCTCAGCCCCACCTACCTCACAGGGTGTCTGTTGTGGGGAGGGGAAGGGAAAGGAGTTTGTGAAGGGAAAGGAATTTGTGAGCCGCTCTGAGACTCCTTTGGGTAGTGAAGGGCCATGGGGTATAAATCCAATCTCTTCTTCTTCTCTGGAGTCAGTTTGGTGTAGTGGTTAAGTGCGCGGACTCTAATCTGGGAGAACCGGGTTTGATTCCCCACTCCTCCACTTGCACCTGGCTGGATGACCTTGGGCAAGCCGTAGCTCTGATAAGAGCTGTCCTTGGAAAAAGCAGTTTCTGTCAAGAGCTCTCTCAGCCCCACCGACCTCACAGGGTGTCTGTTGTGGGGAGGGGAAGGGAAAGGAGTTTGTAAACTGCTCTGAGACTCCCTTGGGTAGTGAAGGGCCATGGGGTATCAATCCAATCTCTTCTCTTCTTCTTCTTGTCTTAGGATGAGCACAGGGTTGCCAACTCCGGATTCGGAAATACCTGGAGATCTGAGGGTGGCGCCTCGGAGGGAGGGGCTTAGGGAGGGGAGGGACGTCTGTAGGGTGTTCGTGTTCCAAAGCAGCCCTTTTCTCCAAGAGAAGTGGAATAAAGGCTAAGTCTACTCAGGAGTCCTGGTGAGACACCTCGTCAAAAGCCTTTTGGAAGCCCAAGCGTACGAGGCCTACCGGGTCACTTGTTCCCTTTCTCAGAGAGCTCCAGCCCCCATGAGGAGGTTGGCTGAACGTCAGGTTGCCAACTCCGAGTTGGGAAATTCCTGGAGCTTTGGAGGCCGTCGCTGGGGAGGGAATTCCACTCCCCCCGTCTCTGAGGGCAGCGGGACAGCTGGACCCCCTTAGAGACCCGCCGGGTCTTCATTTTAGGGACCAACGTGACATTGTGGGTCTCTCCGGTGTCACTGGGCTCAAATCTGACCATCTGTAGTCTTGCCACGGAGTCAACCCCCCCCCTCCAAAGTTGCCTTTTCTCCAGGGGAACTGCCATGCGGAGATCTGCAATAGTTCTTGGGAATCTCCAGCCCCCACCTGGAGGCTGGCAACCCTTGGTCCAAGGGTGTTCCCTGCCCCGCCGCCCGAGGGCTGAACTCGACATTCCGCAGGAGATGGCATTGAGAAAAAAAAAAGATCAAGGCAGCTGCCCCCCCCCTTCTAAGCAGGGCACTGTGTTGGGGGAGAGTGAGCAGTTCAGCCCTTTCTCTCTCATGACATCTCTGTATGTTTCTGCTACAGGCAGATAGCAGCTTGCTCTCTGTCTGTCTGTCTCCCCCCACCCTTGTAAAATCAGAAAAAATAGCCTAGGAAAAACTATTCCCCCCCCACCCCAATGCCACTGCAGGCTGTGGAAGGTCGGTCGTTCAGCAGTTCGAGACCCGACTGTGCCGCATGACGGCGTGAGCTCCCGTCTCTAGTTCAGCTCCTGCCAACCTAGCAGTTCGAAAGCAAGACATTTCAAGTAGATAAATAGGGACCACTTCGGTGGGAAGGGAACAGCGTTCCGTGCGCCTTGGCGTTGAGTCATGCCGGCCACATGACCACAGAGACGTCTTCGGACAGCGCTGGCTCTCTTCGGCTTTGAAACGGAGATGAGCACCGCAACCCTAGAGTCGGACTCGACTGGCTTTCGAGCAAGGGAACCTTTACCTTTACCTTACTCGCAGTTACTTTGATCTAAAGAAAACCTTTTGGCGATGCACAATTAGGCTACCCTGATCATCTTACGTCCTTCCCCTCTCCTCTATTTCATCCTCACAACAGCCCTGTTGTGTCTGGCCCAAGGCTCTTCCGGGCCCTTTCCTTTGATCCAATAAAAGCTCTATGATGCGTCGCTCTTGAGCAGTGGGAGGTCTCTCTTCCAGGTCCCGGCCTGACACTCTGAGCCACAACACCCCACTGGCTCTCTCCGCCTCTCTCTTGCGCTGGCTGTACGCGTGGCCACGCCTGCGTCCACTGGTGAGCGGCTTGCAGAGACTGAGCAAGACAGGGTCTCTCGACAGTCCCCTGCCCCCTGGATGGGTGATCTCCCTGGGCTTGCTGCCCCTGTCCGGACACTACCCCCCCCCATGTAGTTTTGCAAGACTTCTTAAAAAGTATGAAGACCAGAATTTAAAAACAAAGAGCAATCCGTCAAACACCAAATTAAGGTAAAGGTAAAGGTTCCCTTGCTCGAAAGCCAGTCGAGTCCGACTCTAGGGTTGCGGTGCTCATCTCCATTTCCAAGCCGAAGAGCCGGCGCTGTCCGAGGGGTACCTATTTATCTACTTGCAGTTTCTTGCTTTCAAACTGCTAGGTTGGCAGGAGCTGGAACTAGAGACGGGAGCTCACTCCGTCATGCGGCAACCCGGGTCTCGAACTGCTGAACTACCAACCTTCCACAGCCTGCAGTTCAGCATCTTAACCACTTGAGCCACCATTAAAAACAAAGAGCAATCCGTCAAACACCAAATTAGCTCCTAGCTAAATCTACACACCCCTTCCCTAATTTCCGTTTCGTCCCCAGCGTACAAAACGCTTTGCTAAATATGGAACCCTCCCAGATGTCCTGTGAGATGCTGCTGAGGTTCTGACTGTGGCGTGGGCTGGCCAACCCCCTCGGTTGGGGAACTCCTGGAGATTTGGGGGTGGAGCCTGGGGAGGGCGGGGTTTAGGCGGAGGGTACAGTGCCATAGAGCCCACCCTCCGGAGCAGCCGTTCCCTCCAGGGGAACTGATCTCTGTGGTTTGGAGGGCAGTTGTCATTCTGGGAGGTCTCCAGGCCCCATCTGGAGGTTGGCAGCCCTACTCTGGTAAGCCTCCAATGGGAGCGCAGTCAGCATCTGAAGGGGCTTCAGAGCCGGTTTGGTGTGTTGGTTAAGAACAGCGGACTCTAATCTGGGAGAGCCGGGTTTGATTCCCCACTCCTCCTCCACATGCAGCCAGCTGGGCGACCTTGGGTCAGTCACAAGTTCTCTCAGAGCTGTTCTCTCAAGAGCAATTCTCAAAAGAGCTCTCTCAGCCCCACCTACCTCACAGGGTGTACATTGTGGGGAGAGGAAGAAAAAGGAGAATGTAAGCTGCCAACTCTTCTTCTTCTTCTTCTTCCTCCTGCCCACATCCAGGTGCCGCTCTGTAGCACATGTGCAGGGCCATGATGCCTCGACTCAGCTGCTTTTGTTCCTGTGATGAGATGCTTCTGGCAAGATCTTTGGGGAAAACATGGGGGCCAACCTCTCTTCGCTTTCTCCCCACTGTAGGAAGCCCCTCTGGACACGCAATGGGTTCTGCTGGTGTGTACTATGTGACGATCACAGCCATTCTCTCCATCACCCTGGGGAACAAACAACCGTCCTGGAAACACCAGTGAGTATCAGCATCTGCAGCCGCAACGCGAGTCGGCTGGGGCAGTGGTGGGGAAAAAGAAGACCCCCCCCCAGATCATTCATTCATTCATTCATTCATTCATTCATTCATTCATTAAATTTGTATCCCGCCCTTCCAACATGGGCTCAGGGCAGCGAACACAGAGGCAAATGCCATACATAAAGCAATAAAACAATAAACAATCATTAGCCTATAAAACAGTTAAAAGTCGGTGCTCAACAGACCCTATCAATTCCATAATAGAATGCCAATAGCAATAACACACTCCGAGTAAACACAATGGTCTCTGCTCAATTGATGTTACCAGGGCTTTTTTTGTAGAAAAAGCCCAGCAGGAACTCATTAGCATAATAGGCCACACCCAACAGCAGGAACTCATTAGCATATTAGGCCACACCCCTGACAGCACAGCTCATTCGCATATTAGGCCACACACCCCTGTTACCAGAAGTGTGGTCATCCAACCACACCCATCTTTTGCTTCTTATTCTCTTCACCTTGTTGTCAAAACCCAGGGCTTTTTTTTTTTGGAGCAGGAACTCTTTTGCATGTTAGGCCACACCCCCTAATTGTAGCCAATCCTAATGAGTTTCTTCTGTTGGGTGTGGCCTATTATGCTAATAACTTCCTGCTGGGCGTGGCCAACTTGGGAGCCAGCCAGAACTCCGTTCCTGTGTGTTCCTGCCCAAAAATAGCCCTGGATGTTACACTATAACTGTCATCCCCATACCAGGGCCAGTGCGCCTCATGATGTTAATACGGTGGTGGTACAATGGCGGAGGCAGCCCCTACTCAAAAGCCTGGCGGAAGAGCTCCATCTTACAGGCCCTGCGGAACTGCATAAGGTCCCGCAGGGCCCTGATCTCCTCTGGGAGCTCGTTCCACCAGGTAGGGGCCACCACTGAAAAAGCCCTGGCCCTGGTTGCAGCATATTTAACTATCTTGGGGGCTGGGATAACCAACAGATGTTGCCCCCCTGACCATAGTGCCCTTGGGGAAACATATGGGGAAAGGCAGTCCCTCAGGTAAGCCAAGACCAGGCAGTTCTTGCTCCGGGGTGGCTGCCGGTGTTGGAGAGAAAGGCCAGGCGGGTTGCCCGGGACAACCAGCACTCTCACACGCTTTGGGAGTTGGGTTGCCAAGTCTGGACTGGGAATTACCTGGAGATTTTGGGGGTGGAGCCTGGGAAAGGCAGGGTTGGGGGGGTGGACCTCAGTGGGGTGCAGTGCCCCAGAGCCCACCCTCTGGAGCAGCCGTTCCCTCCAGGGGAACTGATTTTGGGTGTCTGGAGATCAGTTGCAACAGCAGGAGATTCCCACTGAGGGAATGGGATTCTCATCCCCGGCCGGTGCAATGTTGCTCCTGGGGAAGAGGGGACCCTGAGGAATGGCACGACCAGGACTGGTCTCTGGGGAAAGGCCAGCTCTGAGAATCGGAAGCAGGAGCCTGCTGTGTACGGTGCTGACTCCACACACACACACACACACACACGGTGATCTCCAGCGCTGTTTTACATTTTGCAGTGGCTTCCTTCCCCCCTCCGAGTCCACAGACGAGTGGCACTTTTGAACTGTTGTAAAATAGTCAAAAGTGTTTAATACTCAGACTATTAATGGATCTTGCTCTATTGGAAAGAAGAGAAAAGTCTGTGAGCCGGAGGCTAAGAAACCGTGAGCCAGCTCACACTCACTCAGCTTAGAGGGAACACTGCCGGTGATCTCCAGCGCTGTTTTACATTTTGCAGTGGCTTCCTTCCCCCTCTGAGTCCATGGACGAGTGGCACTTTTGAACGTCTGAAGGCGGAAAAGCCGCTTGCAGTGTGGGGGCGGAGCGGGGCAGGGTCGGGGTCCAGACTGACCGCCAAGCCAGCGTTTGATTCCTCGGCCGCCTCAGTGGCAAAGCCAGGAGGGCCAGCCTGGCGTGGTGGTGCGCCACAGCTCTCCTCTCCACCCAGCGTGCCTGCAGACCTGAGCTGGGGGTCTCCCCAGAGCCCACCGGAGGGAGTTCTGCCTCATCCTCCAACTCTGCGGGGGGGCCTGCTTCGTGCCCGGCACGTGGGTTGGCCGAGTCCCCCCGGCCTCGTGTGTGTGTCTGTGGGCGGGGGACGGACTGGGGGTTTGGGATGAAGCCCGGGGGAGAGCGGGACCTCTGCGGGGGGGGGCGATGCCAGGGAGCCCACCCTCCAAAGGCGACGGATCTCAGTCGGCAGGCTGGAGTCGCCCTTCCTCGGGCTCCCCGTGAAATGACCCCTGCTCCAGCCTATTGCATTTTCGGAGGAAAGAGGTATCCTAATAACCAGGGCTATTTTGGGGCAGGAACGCACAGGAACGGAGTTCCGGCTGGCTCCTGAGTTGGCCACACCCAGCAGGAACTCATTAGCATAATAGGCCACACCCAACAGCAGAAACTCATTAGAATTGGCTACATTAGGGGTGTGTGGCCTAACATGCAAAGGAGTTCCTGCTACAAAAAAAGGCCCTGGGTTTTGACAACAAACAAGGTCAGCAGAATAAGAAGCAAAAGGTGGGTGTGGCTGGATGACCACACTTCTGGTAACATGGGGGTGCGGCCTAATATGCCAATGAGCTGTGCTGTCAGGGGTGTGGCCTAATATGCTAATGAGTTTCTGCGGTTGGGCGTGGCCTGTTATGCTAATGAGTTCCTGCTGGGCTTTATCTACAAAAAGAGCCCTGACTGTGCCCTTTCCCTCCCGGGGCAGCTTCCTGCGGTTGGTCTTGTGGGCTGCCTTCTGGGCCATCCAGGTCTGCGTCTGCCTCTCTCGCGTCTTCCTGGCCGCCCACTTCCCTCACCAGGTCGTCGCTGGCGTCATCTCAGGTCAGTTCGCCCCCTGCCCGCTGGGCTCCCCCTTTCTCCCCTGTCAGAGCTGCGGAGGGTTCCCTCCTCGCCTTCCGGTTCTCCGCGAGCTCTTGCAGCAGAGCCTGGCCTCCAGAATGCGCCTCCTTCTCCCGAGACGCAGAAAACAAGCTGGGTGCTTGGCTGTGGGTTCGGTTGCCAGGTCCTGACTGGGAAACACCTGGAGATCTTGGGGGTGGCGCCTGGGGAGGGCAGGGGGGGGCTTCACTGCACTATTATAATGCCACAGAGTCCGCCTTCCGGAGCAGCCCTTTTCTCCCTGTCACCTGGAGAGCGGTTGTATTCATGGGAGATCTCCAGCCGCCCCCTGGACGTTGACCACCCTAGCTATGGGCCACCCGTGCTGGGCTTGTGGGCGCCGCCCTCTCAGAGCAAAGGCAGGGCTCTTGCTAACCTCGTAGCGACTGAAGTGGTTTTGCACAGTCCCTCCCAAGAGTCTTCCCCAAAAGCTGGGAGCGTTCGTGTCTTGACGCCGCTGCCTCTTGCTCCCCACGCCAGGCATGTTGGTGGCCGAGTCCTTCCAGCGTGTCCGCTCCATCTACGACGCCAGCCTGCAGAGATACGTGGCCACGACGCTTTTGCCCTGGGCTTCTACCTGCTGCTCAAGCTCCTGGGCGTGGACCTCCTGTGGACCCTGGAGAAGGCCAAGCGGTGGTGTGAGAACCCAGAGTGGGTCCACCTGGACACCACGCCCTTTGCCGGCCTCCTGCGCAACCTGGGCGTCCTCTTTGGGCTCGGCCTGGCGCTCAACTCCCCGATGTACCTGGAGAGCTGCAGGGGGAAGCTGGGGCAGCGGCTGAGCTTCCGGCTGAGCTGCGTGGGCGCTTCCCTCCTGACCTTGCACCTCTTCGACTCTTTCAAGCCTCCGGCCAAGGTGGAGCTCCTGTTCTACCTGCTCTCTTTCTGCAAGAGCGCTGCTGTGCCCCTGGCGGCCGCCGCCCTCGTCCCGTACTGTGTCTCCCAGCTGCTCAGCCAGAAGGAGAAGAAGGACGCATAGCCGGGGGACCCTGGGCTGGCCCCAACAAGGGAATGCGGGCTCCGGGGCCAAAGGACGGGGCCCGGGGCATCCCTCTCGTTCCAGGGCTCTTGCCTCACGGGCCCCTTTGTGGGACTCACGGCGAGGCTGGTCTGTGTCTCCTGATCAGTCCCCGAATCCCCTGCCGGGGGGGGGGCTTTTGCCTGCCCTCCACAACAAGCAAGGCCAGTGCCTAAGGGTGCGTGCCAGGTCCCCCTTGGCCACTGTTTGGGGGGGGGCAGGGCTTCCAGCTCCAGGCTGGGAAACTCCTTGAGATTCGAGGGTGTAGCCTGGAGAGGACAGGAACCCCCTCAGTGGGGCACGCCATAGGTGCCGTGCTGGGACACATCCATTTTCTCCCAGGGAACTGATGTCTGGAGTCTGGAGATGAGCTACACTTTCAGGAGATCCCCGGGACCCCCCCGCAGGCCGGCATGCCCGTAGTCTCTCGAGGGCTACCCCGGGGCTCTGGGTTTGCTCCGTAACAGTCAGTTGTCCTCCTCATTCCCTCAGGTGAGGCGGTGGGGCTCTTTGTTTGAGGCCATGCAGGGACCTTGCGAATGGGGAGAGAGGCTCGTCTTCCGAGCCACACCCTTGTCTTCTGGAAGATTCCACAGTGGGGCAACGAGGACATGACCCTTCTTGGCCGGCACCACGATTCTTCCTAGTATTATTCCTATTTCTGGGGAGCACCTCCTGGAAACAGTTGGCCGTGGGATGGCCCGTCCTCGCAGGATGGCTGGCACTGTGGGCGGTGTGGGGAGGGCAGGAAAGCCCCAGGATCTACGGCAAGCTGGAACGGGCTGGTTTTCACCTCCAATGCCCAGAACCGCTGGGTTTTTGTAAATGTCTCTGCACACGATATTTCTATACCTCTGCGTAGATTCTTTTGTTACGAATAAAGCACAGTCTGTTTTGGTTAAGCGGTCCATTTTCTTTTGAACACATGTTAAATTATTAAATGCTGCATTTATTTTAAAAGTTCCCCATAGCACAGTTTGTGTTTTTTTCCCTTCATCTTCTCTAATTCACCATATGTCGGTCTGTGAAATTGCTCTTCACCACTTTTCCTTGCAGTCTTGCATTATCACTGAAAATCTCTTTGCTGATCCTGCCTGGAGAATACTGTGCTCGGGGGACACAGCCCGGCCTCCAGCCTTCTTGGGAAATTCCTGCAGACCTGGGGGGTGGAGGAGTCTGGGGAGGGCCGGGCTTGGAGAGGAGAGGGGCTTCCGTGGGGTACAATCCCGTAAGAGTCCACCTTCCAAAGCAGCCATTTTCTCCAGGGGAAGTGCTCTCCGGTGATCAGTTATAATTCCAGGGGATCTCCAGACCCCACCTGGAGGCTGGCAACCCTACTGCCACCAGTGTTCCCTCTAAGCTGAGTGAGTGTGAGCTAGCTCACAGTTTTTCAGCCTCCGGCTCACACAGTTTTGTCTCAGCTCAGGAAGGAGGGCCCAGAGCAAACTAGTTTATGCAGGAGCCAAATCGCTCGCTCACACCTTTAATGCCAGGAGCTCACAAAGTAGAATTTTTGCTCACGAGACTCCGCAGCTGAGAGGGAACATTGCTGGCGACCCTACTGCCACCAGTGTTCCCTCTAAGCTGAGTTAGTGTGAGCTAGCTCACAGTTTTTCAGCCTCCGGCTCACACAGTTTTGTCTCAGTTCAGGAAGGAGGGCTCCAGAGCAAAACTAATTGATGCAGGAGCCAAATGGCTCGCTCACAACTTTAATGCCAGCAGCTCACAAAGTAGAATTTTTTGCTCACGAGACTCCACAGCTGAGAGGGAGCCTTGGTGGAGGAGAGGGAGGCTTCCTCCTCTAAATGTCTGCTGGGTCTCCCCCCCCCTTTTTTAAGTGATGAAATGGACGTTAGAGAATTCCCACAATGTTATACCAGAATTCTGAAGGCCAGACCAGAGGTGTGTGTTTGACGAATGTTTGGAACATTAATTTTCAGGCATGTGGGGACCAGTGTTCCCTCTAAGCTGAGTTAGTGTGAGCTAGCTCACCGTTTTTTAGCCTTCGGCTCACACATTTTTGCCCTAGCTCAGGAAAGAGGGCTCCAGAGCAAACTCGCTCACAATTTGAATGCCGGTAGCTCACAGAGTAGATTTTTTGCTCACAAGACTCCACAGCTTAGAGGGAACATTGCTGAGGAGTCTAAAAAACTGTGAGCTAGCTCACACTAACTCAGCTTAGAGGGAACCCTGTAACAACCAATGTTCCCTCTAAGCTGTGGAGTCTTGTAAGCAGAAGTTCTACTTTGTGAGCGACTGGCATTAAAGTTGTGAGCAGGTAATTTGGCTGCTGCATGAATTAGTTTGCTCTGGAGCCCCATCCTTCCTGAGCGAAGACAAAAAACCTGTGAGCCAGAGGCTAAAAAACTGTGAGATAACTCACACTAACTCGGCTTAGAGGGAACACTGGTCACAACCCCAGGGAAACTCTGGGGGACTTGGCCAACATGCCTCCTACCCGGGGAAGACGTCTCCCCAGTTTCCCTTCCCCATTAAGCATCTTTATATCGCTGTGATCTTGCTTTTTTATTCCGGGGGGGGGGAGTGGAGGTATCTTACAGCATTGTTCAGCTGAGTCCTTTTTGAGAGAGACAGACAGACGGGTGTCTCACTTATTCCCAGGTAGCTTGTGTCTCGTCCTCATTGCATTTGCAGGGCACCTCTGTCTCCAGTGTTCCGGCCCCTTGGCTGGGGAGCCTTTTGGATTCTGCTGGCTCCCTTTCTCCTTTCCTTTTTCTGGCACGTATCCCATTGCACTCTGCACTATGTGAACCGTACGTTAAGTCAAATCTATTATTTAATCATCCTCTCCCTTTTCCTTTACTGTTTCTTACCTAATGGACACTCACTATGCTATTCATGGTGTCAGGACGCCAAGCAATTACTTTTGTTATGATATTTGGTTTGAACCAGGGTCATGGGGGGGCATAGTGGCTCCAGCAGTTTGACAACAGCAGCAGCAACATCTGGCTGGCTCCTTCCTGTTAACTGCCTGCCTGCCTGCCTGCCTGCCTGCGGGTGATTCTCGAGAAAAAGAGCCGCAGAAGAGAGGACCAGGTTTTGCTTGTCTGATGCTGGAGGAAGTCTGAGCTGCTTCCACTCAGGGATTTCCCCAGAAAAAGGGAGAGTCCAGAGGGCCCAGGGCCAATCTATGGACCACTGGTCCGGCACACAGTCTTCTCTCTGGCTTAAACCGCTGCTGATGGTGCTTTCAGGTGTGGAGTCTGGGCACTCCCCCGGGAGCCACCTGTTGGATCCCCAGGCATTCGAAATAACTCCACGTTTGAATCAAAGCAAGGTTTATTTCAAAGCGATGGTTCAGACAGGAACAAGAACATTGTTAGGAATAACTACCAATACACAAGTATAGCATATTAAAGGGATTTGAACCATGTTGGGCCAATGAGGCCAGTTCCCGCTGGCGGGAATAGAACTCGTAAACGCGCGCCTATTCCATGGGAATGTAACAGTCCAATACCATCAACACAGGTTCAGTTCACAGGGTAGATAACCATAACAAGCTTAGCGAAGCTCCGACTCCCCCCCACCAGCTGCACGACCTTGGCCAGTTCCACAAAACACAGAGAAGCATAATGAAGCAATCTAAACCCAAAGGGGGGGGGAAGAGCACAAGGCATGTGAAGCAGGTAACAGCAGATACAATGGCAGCTAGCTGACACCACCGCAGGGGGGAGCAGAGGGCTAAACTGTGCTTTCAGCATGGTGTGGGGCTCGGGTCACCAGCTCTGGGTTATCATAGAATCATAGAACGTTCGAGTTGGAAGGGACCTTGCAGGTCATCTAGTCCAACCCCCTGCACCTGGAGATTGGGGAGGTGGAGCCTGAGGAGGGCGGGGTTTGGTGAGGGGAGGGACTTCGACGGGGCCTAACGCCATAGAACCCCCTTCCCAAAGCGGCCATTTTCTCCAGGTGGACCGGTCTCTGTCACCCGGAGATCAGTTGAAATCCCAGGAGATCTCCAGCTGCTCCCTGGAGGCTGGCAACCCAGTGCGGGGCAGCTCAGAGCCACGTGCTATCTGCCTTCCCCTTTCCGCCCGTCAGAGCACTCGCCCCACCCGCTTCCCCTGCAGAGCCATTCCAGGGAAGGACGTTTAACGACTACCTGTGGCCCCCGGGGCTTCACGGAGGTGGCTCCTGGGTCAAGAGGGGTCACTCCCTGGAGAAGCCGTTCTGTGGGTGAAACAGCAGCCAGTCCAGTCCAGTCCAGTGGGGCAACTCCTCCCCGCCTCTCCGAGGCGCGTGGGCGCGCGCGGGGGGGGGGGGGGTGCTGTCAGAGCTGCGGAGGGTTCCCTCCTCGCCTTCCGGTTCTCCGCGAGCTCTTGCTGCAGAGCCTGGCCTCCAGAACGCGCCTCCTTCTCCCGAGACGCAGAAAACAAGCTGGGTTCTTGGCTGTGGGTTCGGTTGCCAGGTCCCGACTGGGAAACACCTGGAGATCTTGGGGGTGGTGCCTGGGGAGGGCAGGGAGGGACTTCACTGCACTAGTTGTTATGTCTTGAGAGACATAATGGTAAAAGCATAATCTAACATCGCTCATCATGCGGATTGTAAACATGTAAATACTGACCAATGGTGTGCCTTCTGGAGGGAATGATTTTGATTGGACGTTATCTCTTGATTATGATTGGTTGTAATGTACCTAGTGTGATTGGTTACTGTAAGCATTGTGGGCATGGCTATCTCAGCCAGAATTGTATA